GAGATCACGTCTAAGGTTTTATTGATTTTAATTGCCCACCACTGAAACTTGCTCTAAGTTGAATAAGCCGTTCTCAACTCCCTGGGTTAAGGACAAGGTTGTTAAAAATATGGAACGAAGAAAAGAGATGGGATCTGGTGGTTCGCCTTCATAAGTCCTTAAGAATTACAAGATAGAGTGACTCACAAAATTGCTGGTGCATGCGAACCAAATATTTATCCATCACATTGATCTTTGTCGTTAGTCAGTCAGCTTCTAAGTAAGAAAACTTATTTTCCCATGAAATTTCTGGGAGGATCAGCTTGGTTAGCATAGTGCCTAACAACCTAGAATAGAAAGTCACTCATCACCAAGTGGAGCTTGGGAGCATAAAAATCGAGAACTTCAAGCATGTTTCAAACCTGAATGATAATCCATCGACCAGATCTTCACGCTTCAGCAGCTTCTGAAGTATAAGCAATAAACCAAGCATCCAACACCTGCTACGTTTAGTAACCTGATGACATCATCTGAATCTATCAACCCAGACTTCGTGTCAGACAAAGATGCTGGCAGAAATCTGTGTTCTGTGAACATCAAGAGCATAAGTCTGTGTATCGACGGGATAATATTTATCAACGAAACTGGAAGAATGCCAAAATGTCGTCAATAAAGGGATCATTCGAAGTACAATGTCTAGTCAAAAAACACTCATCAGTCAAGTTCTGTTCAACATGGTATTCATTTCAACACCTTTCTACTTTACTGATTCCCTCTTTTGCACTATGATGAAGCGTTCTAGGTTAAGGTGGATCAGTTTCATTAGATAGTTAATGCTTACTTGTCTGTCTTTAAAGGATGGGTAAACAGTAATTTGAAAACAAAAACAACTTAAATTCTGTAGCTTTGACTGAGAATTGTACACCTATTCAAAATGCATAATCTGTTTATGACATTACTGCATAGGTTCCTATATCATGATATATCTTGACTATTTGCTTACAGTTCATCTGAGTTCTTTCAAAAACTATACTTAGAATCTAAAAAGATAAAGCCTGACTATTGTATGAGTATAAGATTCACCTTTTCGAATTTCTTTTGGACATGATGCAAAGTTAATTCTCTGACAGCTCAAAAACGTCAGTAGTATCATTGCAATATTTTCCTGTCAAGTGGTTGGGGTCTTCTGTGAGTTTGATAGAGCTAGATAAACCTTTTGTAAGTTATACCATTATTATACTTCAGCGTAGAAGATAACTATATGAAATAGAGACGAAGTGAAATAGAAGTTGTCTTTGGATGGTTTGATCTGATAAAATCAGGAACTGTTGTCTCAATTATTGCACGCATTGTCGTCGACATCAAACAACTAACCAAATGCGGTGATTACAGATCTTGAAGAAACTGATCCGAAATGAGTTATATTCCAATGGATGCATCTGAATCTTATCATCCACTCAAGCTCATACAACAACAACATTTTGTTCACTGTCTCATCGTGTCTTCTTGTGTTTTAACTACAACTCAACTGTTGGTTATCACATACGTCATTATTTCCACTTCTTTGTTTGCTTGCTTGCTAATTGTGGCAACTTGATTTATTGTGCAGAGGCATCTGACTGGAAATCTTCATTAGCTATAGTTAGTGCTTTTCACCTTATGACTCAAATTGTAAATGAGTGATAGCATAAAATCAAAAAGAAGAAGACGCATTTCAAACAAGAATATTCTAACACCTACTTTGTACTATGTATTTGGTGACAATCAATGACATGTACAACCTACAAATTTGTGAATAGTTTCAGTAATGGAATGTGAAAATAACACGTGATAAAAAGCCAACTGTATCCATATTCCCATATAAATTTTAACCACAACTTCTAGAGTTTTATATCATTTGAGTTATGTAAGCTAATCTAATTGAGTAAATTAGGTAAATCCAACTGTAAAAAATACCTTCTGAAACAAGATTCATCTACACTTAGTCTAAGATCAACTGTGGCATAAATATGTGACGTTTAGAACCTACTGAAGCTTTATTGGATAGTTTGTCAGAGAGATTTAAAGTAAATAGGACTTTGTAAAGGATTGGTTGATTCAAATGTAAAGTTTACTGTTTGTGATTCATGTGCAAACAGTTCACTGTCAACTTGTCATGAAATTGACTTCCTAACTAGTCTCTCCTTTAGCAGGCTATTCAGTTAACTTTGCCTAACATATTCATCTCATAATGAGATAAAAGCTGGAATAAGTATAGAGTGTTAGAATGTCTTTACAGACCAAGAATGTGTTAATAAGGTTTAAGTTTTGTCAGCATTAATTTGTTTCCATTAGGTTTGCATGCTTGCAAGAGGCAACTGCTTATCGACTGAATGCGATTCCTAAATGCAAAGTAAAGTCAGAGAAGATTAATGAAGCACTCACTACCAGATTGTCGTAGTTTACCGATTCCTATTATCTACTGGTTCCATAACGAAATATTATGAAGAATAGGTTCCACAAGATACACTGGTTTGATTGGCATTCCAGTTAACGGATGCTCAAGATAATAAAGTATTTCACTATAAAGTCGATGAAAACATTCATACTTGTATATGATACGAAACTTGACATTGATTGACTACTTGTGAGTAAATACTAACAGACTATAGAAGAAAGATGTGCAACACAGCTTGAAACGTCGATTGAAAGAATAGTGGTTCAAATTATCATAGTTTACACTAGTAGAAAAACAGCAAATGAACAGCATGTAAAGATTAATCATGAGTCTGGAAAACAGAAAGCTATCAAATGTGGGGAGATGACTTTCAACTAATGGGTTACGCGTTCAAACCTCATTTCACCTAACGAGGTCTAAGCAGCCAGGTAGTATCATCAATAACCCTCTCTCTCTCACACACACACACACAATAGGTGTGGCTACTTGCCTACTGCATGAATGTGCACAAGGTTGCTGAGTGCATTCCATTCCATTTCCAGTCGATGAATTCATTAGAAAAAAGGCTGGCTTGAGACCATGAAGTAAGAAGACAGTAACTGCAACCGTAATATAGTCATAGCTAGGAAAGTATCTTACAAACTGTGTATTCAGAAAGTGGATGTATCCAAATTACGATAACTAACTTCGAGTTGCATCATTCAGATTTCCTAATATTTCGTTGCTGACGTTCGGAGAAACGAAAACGCTGCACAGCGCACACCGGTTTTCAACAACTAATTGGGTTGTGGGACATGTTTCGGTCAACCTACCATTAGTTTATTAAACCAAATCGTGCTTCGACCAGCCTTCAGCTTTTGAGTAAAGTACCTCATGGAATACGGAACTCGTCTCGCTCATTTGCACACGTAGAGGTTTAAAGTTCAACTTCAAAGTTGTTCAATTCATGTTTGCACCTCATGTCAACAACCTCATAGAGATGCCTGTGATCAGATACCTGTCACCCCCTCCCAAAACGTTTCTACCCTCTTCAACAACGTCTCAAAGTAGCATATCTAGAAACAACACGGTTTCATGCTGTGCAGTTGCCCGATCTTTGGTATCCACATACCTTACCGTGTACAGATCACATATATCTGTGGATGCAAACCAGGTTTTGTGTGCTCATATTACGAATCCATTGACAGTCAGGCCCCAAGCTCCAATTCAGCTTCCCGTGTAGTTGGTGTGATCAACAGGCAGCGGAAATCGCTCACATGAATGTTTGTCGAAATTCATCGGGATTTATAATTAGTAGTTATTCTGATTGAAATTCCAAGTTTGATTCAACTCTATCACAGAAATCAGTCTCGTAGTGATCTTAGCTTGACTATATATTACTTCAGTGCGACGTATTGTCTATTCCCAAGTCGTAGTGAGCTGCTCGGAAGGGATTGCTTTGTGTTATCTTAGCATAAGCATATGATATTCAGCGTTTTATTATCGGGCGTGGTGGCAACACCACCACTCACTTTGTAGGGAGGTCAGGTGGGCTAACAAGTTACATGTAAGTTTAAATAGTATTTTCCTTGACGGCACATCTTTTCAAGTTTGAAGGGGAGAAGAAGGATTTCAGCAGGAATTTACATCTTAAACTCTGAATTTCTTCAAGCGACACTAAAAAATCTCTGTTATTGTCCATCTGTACTGTCTGTAATTACCAGCATGCTTGATTACTGATTAACTGATTGGTTGGTGGATGGTCGGTGGATAGCGACCATCCCTTTCTTCTCTAAGTAGTTGGTGGTGATAATATCATTGAACCTAGTGGTGAACAGTTCACAGTCTGGTGTTACAGCTCGCAGGACCCCAAAAATCATATACTGATGCTAAGTCACACATTTTTATTCAACATTTCATAGGAATTAATGAGATGAGTTAAGACTTTTGAAGGCACTTAGACCAGCATAAAAAGCGTTTCAGTGGGATTGTTTCCTGAGTTCGTTTCTTACTTCAAAAGTCAACTTTTAACACTGTCACCTCACAAACTTCTATTACCATACTGTCAACATATATAGAGAAAGTAGTGCAATTAACAGATCTCGCTTAAATAAGACTGTTGGTCAGAATCCAACTGAGCCTCAGTTTTCTTTCATCTTCATTAATCATATTTATATGCCGAGATCCCCTAACCGATAAGATAGTCTTACAAATGACAGTGAGTTCTTTATACACAACAAACATGTCTCAAAAGACATTTCATCACAAATCGACAATAAGCAGAGAAATATTGGAAACCCAAGACTGCTGGACATTGCTTTCGTCTTATTGAAAACATCTAAACAGTGCGCACTTAATAGCACACGCAGAGTTCAGACCTGATTTTATTTGCTTCAACCTTACTTACTCTTACCGGTAAGTACTTCTGAGGGCTTTCCAACTGTGACGAAGCGGCTGCCCAATGGTCTCCGGTTTTCAGTCGTTTTTCGGCTAGTGCAAACACGTGATAAAAACTCTTTTGAAGTCAACTGGTTCTTCTCAGTCCTTCAAATTTAAAATCTTACTTTTGTTACCACAACAATGAGTGGTATACCAAGGTTGTTATTCAGCACATCTCTTTCATGGATTTCTTCTGAGAAAACATCAGCATCATTTGGAGATGGCGGTTCAGGTGTTGCTTCATATGATGTTTCAGACATACTGGAGAATGAGAATGAAGTTAAATTTACAGGATTAGTATCCCACTAGTGAGTGTTCCCGGTTCCAGATAACCATAGAATTCCTTTGAAACTGAAATGTAAACAAAATAAGTCATCTGTAAGAACGCTTCCTGAAGGCAGGATATATGCTTAAACTGAGAAACAATATTCTATTTATGAGTGAATAGTGGCTAAACAGCGATTGGAGACTTCATGACACAAACAGCGAGTATTTTTCTGTTATGCTAAGAAGTTCTCATAATCAAGAAACGAAATTAATGCTAACCGAAAATAACTACTGGTAATGAATACCTAAGATAAAATCTATGCGTTGTCTATCAGCTGTGCACCAAAGAATGCGGGAACGATGAAATTAACTTTAGAGTGTTACATTTCAATCGAACTCAATACACATATTGTTTTAGTGCATTCAAAAGATTCAAACATGCAATCGCTTCTCGTCAGTTTCGAATAACTGCCCAATGTTGATTCCTCGAATCAAAACAGGCATAACGAACAACCCACACTATTTCCAACTTTTTAATCAATAAATTCCTGAGTTTATAAGACGAACTTACCCCTTTCATTACACTCCACTCAGTATGTTATCATTGCGAACCATGACTTGAACGATGTCTAACGTTCTAACCGATGTATGATTGCATCTCTAAGCAATTTGACTTCACAAGAGTTCGGTAAACGTTTGGAGTTTGGTTTTCTTCATCGGCTTGTTAAATAAATTACTCTTAGAACACTAACTATTAATAAAAGTGATAAGTAAAAATTCTGACAAACTATTTATTTTTCAGAGTATCCATGATACTAAATGACTGTAAGAATTTTTATAAAAGGTAGATGTTGCAGGTTCACTCAGAAACTCTATTCAATATTTCATGACATAACATGACTAAGAGAGGCCACATTCAAATCTGACAAGGAGCTTATACAGTTTACTTACTAAAGATGGAGTTCCCATAAAGCTATTGCTGAACCAGAGTGAAACGTCTCATTTCTCATCATTTTCGCGCGCTGCTAGTAAATTTCGATACAAATGAAAGAATAAAAGCTTCAAAGAACAAACTTCTTTCCGCCGATGTTACTCTCTGAAGCTGTACAAGAGCGTCTAACTATACTTGGTGTACACATTTATTGGTAAAGAATGTCAATATTTTTTAATCAGGTTGCAGGAAAATAATACAGGAATGGAAATATTACAACACTTAACAATGTAATTTGAAATGAAAGGGAATAAGAAATTAGTCAATGTGCCAAAAAGCGGATTATATTACTAATATCTCATTCCTTCCTCAACGTCAACTACCTACTCGAATCACTTCAAACTCTCCAATTCTTCATTTCAACTCACACTTACGTTGTCGAATATTTTGAAATTCCTTACGTAAATTTTCATTAAAATATTAGATTTCTGACAAATAACTACGAATAAAAATTAGTTCACAAATATTGATGTTCTTCACCAGATAACATGCACACTAACTGCAGTAAAGTGCTTATGCATAGCACTAGAAAATGATATGAGTGAAAAGAGACTTTCTCGATTAAGTGTCCATTACACTATAACTCAGTGATAATATTTACATCTGTGGAAACAAATAGTAGATAACACTAAGTTTCCCGTTGGGTAGTAAATGATGAGCTACTGTGGTATTCCATGGGAAAAAACAATCCTGAATAGTTTCTACTTATGAGTCGCTCACATCCATACCGGTTGAAAATCCAAAAAGAAGCTGAACAAACCTCTGTTAGTAGTTAGAATTGCTGTTGAGTAGAAAGAATTCTGCTAAATTATCATCAATATATGAGGTGAAACTGTGCACTGTTTCTTTAATTTGATTTACAATGGAAGAGAATGCTATTATTTGCAGGATAGCATTTCAAACACATTCTACTGTTCGTAGTCTAATCAGAGAGTTGTAGCCGTATTCAGTCTCTGGACGAAATTGCAGTAATGATAACTGTGTAAATGTGGACTAGACTGGGTTGCCTAGTAGACACTTCATCTCAAAACTGCTATGCCACCGACTCTCTCAAGCCGTTATACGTTGTTCACAAGCAAGTTGTTGGGGGATAATGGTGCTGTAACACATTCTGTATTTAGCAGATACAAAATGCATCAATAACCCATCAAAACTTTTGCCGAATTCGTCCAAAAGACTTGCGCTTTCTATTATCCTTTCCAAAATGTGTTGTATTCTGTGATTCTCACCATGAAATTGGGTTGGGTAAAATCTAAGGATGATCAGTTTAAAGAGCAGAACTAGTTAGTGGAGAAATATATGTGTTTTGCCGTCAGAGTCCTTTAGATTTTGGAAGCCAGGGGTTGGAGACCTATCAAAGTGGTGTAAATGTAGTAATTCATTTTTTTAGAGTTCATGAGTATTTTGCTCCTCCTCATTTATGTTTTACCACCTCTACACACATACTTTGCCATTCCCAATATTTTCACTAACTTATGTCAGCCGCAGTTCAAATTACAGCCTAAGACCGTTGACTTTTTCAAGCAGTTGCCAGTGTTATCTTTTCCGTACATGAAATAACTAGTGGTTTAGAGGCAAGTAGAGTGTAGTCAACGGGGAAGCCTGTTAAACAAAATATATACTGCTAGTGTAGTTTAGTGGGCCAGTTTTACAAAAATCGAACACCTAGTGGAGCCAATTGGTGTTCTGTGAGTCAGAGCATGCCTCAAAGAAGTGAGTATGTTCGGTTTTGAGTAAGTGAAGATGTAGAGCAACTACTGAACAGAAATTACAAAGATCAAGAATTAAAAGAAAACAACAATACAAATAGTGAGCTTGAGTTACTTCTGAATATCCCTGACTGTTTCACATATTTTTGGGGCAGTGTGTCTTTCTTAAGCCTTCTAAGTTCTAGTTTTGCATCATAATTAAATGGTTAGGAAGAATGAATACTTTTCAGCACTTTGTGCTTGTAGTTCTTCTTTGTTTCACTGTCAAGTTATCAAACACAAAGACAAGGCTATTAGAGCTGGACATACTGTTGACGGTAGGATTTATTCAATGATGTTCATCAGAATTAGGGTTCCTTCAGATCTTATAAGCTATCTGCTTGTGTTCAGTAAAAACAAGCCAAGTTAACCCATGGCGAACAGAAGTATGTGGGCTCTTTCGATATAATTATTCAACAACTACCTTTGAAACTCACAAAGTAATCACTAAAAGTCCAAGGACATGCCTTGTGAGCAATTGAAAATACGTCTGTATATTGATAGTACTGTCTATTATGCCTCCCCACCGAAAACCACTGGTACGATATTTTTTTATAAAACCTAAAGGGCGCTTACACATTTCATGAGAGCTTCGTCGAACTTTCACTAGTTTTCTAGGGTAATTTTAATTTTCTAAGTGGTGTAGTTTGAAAAAAATAACGTACTTCAGTTACTATACGTAAAACAATCATGCCGAAAACTTGCTTATCGAGGGAAGCGGTGTGGTTTTCTAATGCGCATCAGAATACGGTGTAAACACTGTAAGTTATTCATCTCAATCACTGTACATAATATGTACCAATGCCTTGTGACAGAAGCTTGTGTTGCGAGGACATTTGATGCTGAGCCAACCTTAATGTGGAGCAAACGCGATGTTTGTAGCTTCTCAACAGCCCTGATGACTAGTGAATGTCAGTTAGGACCTTTAGTTACCAATGAAGTGAAGTCGTACTCGCCAAGATAGCTCACAAATGAAGAGGACTTCCTTTTTTATGACCCAAACGATTTGGAGACACTAGAGCCTTCTTGACACACACACAAATGTACACACCAAATAACTGATGCTGCCCTGCATGCTGACTACAATGAGTTTCGCAGTAACCTCACTATGCATTATCAATTTCTGATGTTTAAGCTCATAGATGAGTATGACTAAACATGCTCTATCAAAATAAGAAGATTATAAGAAGTTAGGTCCTCGAAATCAGGGAAACATCATCAATAAATTATCGTATACTTCAGGTAAAGACAAGAAGTCAGTTTTATTCCAGTCTAAGATTCCAGGATCTGCGATCCTTAAGCCTATGTGGTAATCGTATGTTAGAAGCAGCGGTCCATTTTCTTCCCAGATTATATCTAATTTCTCTTTACGGAAAGCGTAAAGTTTTAGAGAAGCATCTTGCCCACTCACTTCCGGTCAGAACAGTGGATATCGGAAGTCATTTGCATCAAACTCCTAGTTCACTTATAATAGTCTCAATGAGATAATATTTTGGTCTACTGAAACTGTCTTCTTAAATTGGGCTGAAAATTAGTAATTTGTAGCCGTTTGCTTCACCAAATCCGTATGAAGCATATCTTAGTGAACTGAAGAATTGTGCAAGAAACTCTGACACTTGTTGTAGGACTGAGGAACAGCAAATAAATCTATTTTTCATATATTACTAGGCATAAATGTATGATAGTCGCACTGTTTAAACAGCTTAGACTACTAGATATGATTATTTACATAGGTGAGTGGAAACTAGCCTGATTACCTTAAAACCTCTCGCCTCAGCCCTCCTTTCAGATGTAACTAAAGTGCGATTATATCACACATAATAAATAATCTTTCAATAACAATTAACGCTACTTGACAGTCGTCTCAAATCTTTACAAACCCTTTACAACATTCAGAAGCCACTCAATAGCAAAGTACACACCAAATAACCGAATCAAGTGCTGATTTAACTCACCTTTTGACTTGTACATCTTTAACTTATCTTTTGGAAGTTTCAGTTTATTTATATGATTTTTGAGTACATCTGCCCACATTTCTAAGCTTTCTATAACCTTCCATGGTTCACTGATGCTAACAACAATAATGGCAGTTTGGTCGCAGAATGAATCCTCGGTAATAACATATTGGAGAAGGTAACTCTGAATAGGATTACCGTCCAAAATGCAAACACTTAAATTCGTGGTAGCATCTCGTGCCTCATCTTTAACTTCGATAAGAAAATATTCAATTCCAAATCCCTCTTGAATGTCTTCAGGACCCCGAAGTCGTGAGATCAAGGTTGATTTTCCGCACTTATCGTCACCGAACACAACTAGGGTTTTTGAGGAGGGTAGACCAGTAGTTGCTTTATTAGTAACTTCATCAAGAAGACTGGACCTAGATTATATTCAATGAAATTTATAATTTCAAACAAACCAGAGGCATTTGATGCTGTTTTCCTCACCATCTGAATCTATTTCACGCATACTTCACCACTGGTGTGAAAAAAATTCACGACAACACTAGGATAGTTCGTACTTGCACCCTCAGTGACCTTGAAACCAATATCCAATGTTGATGGTGCGAGCATAGAAAACTGATAGTTTTGATCTCTCGTGTCTAGTTCTTAGGGCTTGGTTCGAGATGTTTGGTTCACTCCTCCACTGGACGAAGAACTCCCTTCTGTTCCCTGCTTCCAGCCTCGGTGAGGTGGATGTTTTGTGGGTTAGTAAGTTGTGATTTGTAGAGTGATTGGGGAGCTACGAGTTGCTGGAAAGGTTAGGGGACTGTCGTGACTGCTGTCTGTTTAGGTTCCTGGAGGAGAATATTGGGCTGGTGGCGAGGAACGAAAATAATGAAGGGGAAAAAGGATGAGAAAGGAAGAGAAAGAGGAAAAGAAAGAAAGAAGAAAAGGAGGGGGTGAAAAAGAGAAACAAAAATACGGGAGAAAAGTAGGTGGGGGTTGCCTGAGTGACAAAAATAGATAGCGCAGGCCTTTCCCCTGGAAAAGAATTAGTAGGTGATGTGGGTGTATGAAGGAGCGAGATAGTGAGTGGTGAGTAGGAGGGAGGTGTGGGTGGGCTAGTGAGGTTGGTGACTCCCTGAGCACGTCCGTAGTAGGCCATGCGAGGTGACATAACTGTATCTTTAAAACTCAGTTTCCGAAAACAGTAAAGCGGGTTCGATGAAAAACAGTCGGTTGCATTTGTGTTTTTCAACTGACTCCTCAAAGTTCAGCACATGAAACCCAGCCACGCAATTGGAAATTGGTTCAATTTGTAGTGGGACGTGTGATTATTTAAGAAGTGGAGGGTATTTGAACCATCCCCATTCCTCAAACTTGGCCTCACAAAAGCAGCTACCACGTTTCACTTTACACTGTAAATCTGTAGTATTGTGAAAGTATTCTCTGTGTACGCTATGATCCTAAGTGTTCTTGAGGAAGAAATATTACTTGTCCATAGGCGTTCTATGAAAGCTGTCCGTTAATTAAAAAAGAATGGTGAACTCCCAAAGTACAGCCACTCTAACTGGAGTGGGTGTGCAGTCTCTTCTCAAAAGCATCGAATAAAAGAAATTACATTTTCCTTACAGGACGTCCAACACTAAAACTCTCCTTCTTATGAAAGCGTTTGTACTTTTTTACCTGAAGTCGCTTCTGTTTTTTCCCGTTGAAGGTTGGTCTCAACTTAGGCCCCTAATTGTGACCTGAGAGCTCTCTGTCTAGATGTGAGTGGTCATGTCACGTTTACACCTGGCTCGTAAAGTCAGCTTGAAATTTTGTATGCAGGCCACTTTTCTTTAATAGTGTTCGATCGAAGGAGTGTACATATGATAATGGTCTTTCGGGATTTCAGTGAATACTCCCATACTGTGATAGCTGGCACCCCGAGACGTGTACGTGTTTCATTTATTTACACCATATCGTCTTCAAACCTCGCCTGGTTAACTAGTTTACTAGTTACTAGCCGGTCCTAAGCCCGGGTAAAGAGGGAAGGTTGGGCATAGGGCTAGCAACCCTACCCCGTAAAACAAATCTAACCGCTAAAGAAACTTCAAAGCACAAACAAAATATAAAAAATGAAAACAAACTTATACCCCGCTGGAATCGGAGAGGCGAAATGACGCCAGTTGGTGAAAGCCTTCGGGAAGCCAATTGGCCGATGTGTCTTCTCTCGATGAAAGCGAAAGTAAACGTGGGGACATGGAATGTCCGCACCATGTTTGAACCCAGTAAGGCAGCCCAGATTGCAAAGGAGATGAGAAGGTATAACATCGAAGTGCTTGGGATTTGCGAAAGCAGATGGAATGGGAGTGGACTCTCCAAACTGTCAACTGGAGAATCAATAATCTACTCCGGTCACCCAGACGCCAACCACGAGCACACTGAGGGAGTGGCTATCATGATGTCCTCAAGAGCATCGAAGGCTCTCATGCAGTGGGAACCAATCTCCTCCAGGATCATGACAGCAAGGTTCAACTCAAAAGGAAGAAAGGTCACAATCATACAATGTTATGCACCTACAAATAATGCAGAGCAAGAGAAAAAGGAGGATTTCTACAGACAACTTCAATCAACACTGGACAAGACGTCAGTTGGCGATATCAAAATTCTAATGGGCGACATGAATGCCAAACTGGGAGGGGACAATACGGGAAGAGAACTAACCATGGGTCGAGAGGCGCTAGGTGAAATGAATGAGAATGGAGAATTGTTTGCAGAATTCTGTGCATTCAACGATTTGGTGATTGGAGGCAGTGTGTTCAGGCACAAGGATATCCACAAAGCGACATGGACTTCACCAGATGGACACACTAAAAATCAAATCGACTTTATCTCAATCTCAAGAAAATGGAGACGCAGTCTACTTAACACAAGGTCAAGAAGAGGAGCAGATGTAGGTTCAGACCACTATCTAGTGCAAGGAACCTTCCAAATCAAGTTAAAAGCCTTCAAGGAAGCTGGTGATAGACCTCAATTCAAGTACAACACTCGGAAACTGAAGGATGAAACTACAAAGGAGATCTTCAAAGCAGCCATCAAGACAAAATGGGAGACGTCGAGGGACATCCCTGAAGAAACCTGTGTGGAAGAACACTGGAAGTCTTTGAAAGCTGTGTGGAAAGAAACCTGCACAGCCGTATTAGGAAGGAAGAAGAAAGAAGACAAGGAATGGATCTCGACGGATACCTGGAAGCTGATAGAGGAGAGGAGGATGGTGAAGCAGAAGATAAACCAGTGCAAGGATGCTCAACGACAAGAGGAACTGAGCACAATGTATAAAACACTGGACAAAGAAGTGAAGAAGAGTGCACGCAAAGACAAAAGACACTTCTACGAAACACTGGCAAGTGAAGCAGAACAGGCTGCAGGTAAGAGAGACCTGACGACATTGTATCAAATAACCAGGTTGCTATCAGGGAAGAGACCAACACAGATGAAACCAATAAAAGATGAAGAAGGAAATTTAATTACAAAAGAAGAGAAACAGAGGAAACGATGGGCCGACCACTTCAAGAAGCTCTTGAATCGACCACCACCTGCACTTCGTCCAGAAATACCACCTGCAGCCGCTGAATTACAAGTGAACATAAATCCCCCAACGAAAATGGAAGTCCTGAACGCCATAAAGCTACTGAAAGGTGGGAAAGCAGCAGGACCAGATGGAATACCGCCAGAAGCACTGAGAACAGATGCAGAGACAACAGCGGACATGCTCACACCACTATTGCAGAAGGTGTGGAAGGAAGAGAAGGTACCTGACGATTGGAAGAAGGGTTACCTTGTCAAACTGCCGAAGAAGGGAGACCTCAGTGCTTGCAAGAACTGGCGCGGAATCACTCTCCTGTCCACCCCAAGTAAAATATTAAGCCGCATCATCCTGGAGAGGCTTAAAGACGCACTGGATTCAAAACTGCGACCGGAACAGGCAGGCTTCAGGAAGTACAAATCATGTGCTGACCAAATTGCAACGCTTCGTATCATCATAGAACAGAGCGTAGAATGGCAATCAGCTCTATACCTCAACTTCATCGACTTTGAGAAGGCCTTTGACAGCGTCGACCGAGAAGTAATTTGGAAACTGCTTCAATACTACGGAGTACCGCAAACCTTTATCCGCCTCATTCAACAACTATATGAAGATGCCACATGCCAAGTAATCCACAATGGGAAGCTCAGTGATGCCTTTGAAGTGAAGACAGGAGTGAAACAAGGTTGCCTACTATCCCCCATGATATTCCTTATTGTGGTGGACTGGATCATGCAGCAAACAGTAGGCAGCGAGAAGAGGGGGATACACTGGACGACGGAAAAGAACCTAGAAGACTTGGATTTCGCCGATGACTTGTGCCTAATGTCACATAAACTTGAAGATCTGCAGGCAAAAACTAACAAGTTGACAGAAGAGGCAGCTAAGACGGGACTTCAGGTGAATATAGAGAAGACAGAAGTGATGAAGATACCGCACCACCACCATCAACAACAACAACAAACTCCAATCACCGTCAACGGGAGAAACTTGAAGGAAGTAACCTCCTTCACTTATCTAGGAAGCACTGTTTCAACTACAGGCGGGACGGACGAGGACGTCAAAGTCAGAATCGGAAAAGCAAGACAGGCGTTCATTAGCCTGAAACCAGTGTGGAGATCTTCTGCACTCAGCATGCGGAACAAGATACGGATTTTCAACACCAACGTCAAGTCAGTGCTCTTGTATGGCTCAGAGACTTGGCGCGCCACGAAAGGTATTTCCAATAAACTACAGACATTCATCAACAACTGCTTACGCTCGTTGCTGAAGATCAGATGGCCAGAAAAAATAAGCAACAAGGAACTCTGGGAACGAAGCAACCAAGAACCTATCACGCAACAAATATGCAGGAAGAAGTGGAGATGGATTGGGCATGCACTGAGAAGGCCGACTGAGGACATCACGCGTCAGGCCCTCGAGTGGAATCCCTATGGGAAGCGACGAGTTGGACGTCCGAGGGTGACATGGAGGAGGTCATGCGAGGAGGAAATGAGAGCTTGTGGGCTGTCGTGGAACCAGGTTCAAAAGATCTCAGAGAACAGAGGTCACTGGAGGCGTGCTACTGAAGCCCTATGTTCCACTCGGAACCCAAAGGACTAATAATAATAAATAATAATATCGTCTTCAGCAAATCTTGTTACAGGCCTTTCTATAGCCTATGGAGGTCACAAAGCTGATGACGATCTTCTACATATGATCAGCTCTCTCACGGTAGTCGGAGGAAAGCTGGCGACCAGAGGGCTGAGGAATTCACGTGGCAGTGAGAAGACTCAGCTCACCGTCAATCATCCTAAACGGAGACCCATGAATGCCGTTTGATTTGTTCATACGGAGAGTCTATCTGATGAAACGATACGCTTGAGCCTGTCCTTCGTATCCACTGTCCTTGAGTCCATCAGCGAACTGAACCTGTGGAGTTCTCACTTAGAAGTTCATTGCAAATGTAAACATGA